CTCCACACCCTCCTGTCAGGGGGCTGTAAATGGCACGAAGAACCCTCAGAGCCCCCTCTAGGCTGAACATTCCCAACTCTCTCCTTCTCTCCTCTTATACCATATGCTTTAGCCCCTGAACATCTTAGTGAATTTCTGTGGGACTTACTTTGGTTTGTTAAAGTTTTGCTTGCTCTGGGGAGCCCAAAACTGGTCACACTGCTCCAGATGCAGTCTTAAAAATGCTAATTAAAGGGACTAGAAAACACTTGCCTCCTGCCAGCTACTGTTTTGGCAACACAGCCCATGATGACATAGTTACAAGGACACATTCCACACTCCAACTAGACTCCCAGGTCTTTTCTGCAAAGCTGCTTCCATGTCAGTCAGCCCCCAGCCTGTGCTGGTGCAGTGGATTATTCTGGTCCAGTTGCCAGGAAAGTGCACTGACATTTGCTGAACTTCACAAGTACCTGTCAGCTCACCTCTCCAGCCTGTCCTGGGCCTCTGAATAGCAGCCCTGCCCTCCAGGTTATTGATTGCTTGTCCACAAACTCACCAAGAGTGCACTTTATCACCCATGCTATTGATAAAGACATTAAACAACACTGGCTACAACATCCATCCCTAAGATACACCACTAGTAACTGGCTGACAGTTATTCCAGGTCATGGATTACTAACAATCTAATTTTTCATCCCCTTTCATCTGCTCATCCAGTCTGTATATCAGCACTTGGGAAATTTAATGATAAGCTGATCATAGGCAACACAGGAAAACCTGCGGTATGCAGAGATGTATGGAGTTGTAGTGTTGTAGGCCAGGAAAGCACAGAAAGGGAATTTGCTTTACTAATGATTTTATACTCCCTTCTGCAACACTCATCTGTTGAACAGTGGTGTTTCCTTCTAAGACCCTCAGAAGTCAAAGTAGTGTTTCAAGAAAATAAATATGAACCTTGATTTTTTTTTTTTCTGCTGGGGAAAACCTTCCGAGAATAATTCTATGGATCAGAAGAGAAGCATAAATTCTCTGTGTTTCTCAATAAGTGAATTTCAACAAAAGCTGACACATTTTTTATCCAAACATGTCAATGCATTGGGCCCTGATGCAATGGCAGTTCACCACAACCAAAGCTGGATTTCACACAGAATTGAAAAGTGCTATAGTGACCACAGTAGATGCATTTATAGTCTCCCTGCTTTTCCTAACTTATTCTTAAACATACTAAATGAGTTGTCTTAAAAACAATTCCCAAGGAACTCTTGCAGCAACGTGATGGAAACAGGAATTTTTGTCTTGAGTCTGCCACTAATACTGACCTAAAAGAGAGTGAAGAGACAGAGTCCCACTTACAGAATCTTTGGTTCTTGTCTCAGGGTTTGATCTGGGACTTGGAAACAGTTTAAAATGCCAAGATTTCCAGACTTCCTGCTGCTGAGCCAGAAGCCTTATGTGGTTGTGAGCAATGGAATTTAAGTTACAGACATTCAGGTGTGTCCTGTAGTTACATCTGTGGTGCTGCTGGCGTCAGGGCTGCCCCTGGGTGCACACCCTGCACATTTAGACATTGGTTCCCTCGGTGGTCCCGAGCTCTCAGCTGGTCCCTGCAGGGGTCACACAAGGGACTGATCTCAGACAAGGTGATTGCCTGAGCTCACGAACACCCTCACAGTAAAGCCTTTGTCTAATTCCTTCAGAAGGAATTAGGTGGAATTACAGATGGGAATTTTGAACAGACCCAGAGATCCTCCCAAGCAGTTCCTGCTGTATCTAGATAATTTGATAGACAGTGTTGTATGTATCAACGTGTTCGTATATGGGATGGCAAATCTGGCTGTGCTGGGAACAATCCCAAGCCATACCTACTGCAGAACTGACAAACTTACACATTGATGAGCTACTTCTAACAACTCAGTAGAAATTGTTCCTGCAGTAGCAGAACTGGTCATGCAGAACAGCCTTCTGCACCCAGTAAAGATAAATAGGGGATGTTTTGCTCATGGTTTAAGAAAATCTACAGTAGATCATGTAGGACTGCAACACAGCTGGACTACAGGAACTGAGCAGGATGGTGTTTCAGGAAGTGTCACCTGTTGCAGGGACCCTCACAACAGCCACTTCATTTGCCATGTGGCTAGCGAGCCAAACATCCCATCCAAGAGACGTGATTTCCCACGCGAGCATTACTCTAAGCCAAGACTCCAATAAGTTAGGGATTTTCTTAAGGAAACAAACACTCTCCATAAGACAACAGATGTTTCACATTTGTTGTGCAGATGTGCAAGGCTTGAAGGCTTAGAGCTCTACAGTTATCCCCATCCAGACCTTCTGGTCCATCACTGCCCCGGGGATCGTGGGAGCCCTGCAAATGTCAGCGAGGCGTGAACGCTCAGAGCTGCTGAACTGTCTGCAGAAGGGCACGCAAAATTCTGAGTCTTGGGTCTTTTGGGGCTGAGGGTGTCTGGTTTGTAAGAGAACATTGACAGCTGTTTACATCTATAAATGTTCACACTGATTTCACAACTGCTGCCACAACAGTGGGCCCAGAGAGTTTCCTGGTAGTGAATGGAACTGGAATGCAGTATTGTATGAACAAAATGTTAAAAAGGAAAAAAATATTCTGCCACCAAATAATGTTGGTTTCCAGTAAGCTGCAGCTGCTACCCTCAGATAGGGCAGGGGAGAGCTGTGAAAGACCAGCAGGAGTCAGACACTTGACTGCTGACCAACAAGTGGATCTTCATTTTGCAGCATGAGCTGTATGTCCTCATTCAAGTCCTTCTCCTGGCCTTTACACTGTACTTCAGGACTCACCCTCCACTGCCTTGGACTGGTGGTACTGATCACCACATGGGCTCTTCCATGACGCTGGGTTGTTTTTCTACTCTGCTCCCAGCTCTGCTGGTTGCACTTCCCTACATTAATTTGAACCCAGCCTTAAAACAACATTAAAGAGTCTGAATTAAAAAAATAAATTCATTCCCATAAGCTGAAAACAGCACTGTCTTTAGGAATTTTATGTTCTCTGGCCAAGTATACACTACAATTATACAAGCTTATCACTGTTATCATGAATGCATTTTTACTTTCATAGTAAATGTGCAATAATCTTGTTTTTATTGTTAGGTTTTAATAATGGATTGCCACCCAGAAAAAATCAGAGTTGCTGTAGGCAACTGGGAAGCAGTCCAAAGTTACCCTCCTGTGTGTTCTTGGTGCTGGATTTCAGAGGCTTATGTTTATTTGTCTCAGTTCAAATCTAGTGAGAAAGTTATTCTGTATTTGCATTAGCATAAAAAAGCATATTTTGCTAAAATCACCTCCTTCTCACCACCTTTTTTTTTTTTTTTTGGCTAATTATATGTGGTAGAACCTGATTCCCAGAGGAATACTTGGGAAGAGTATACTTGGCTAAATAACTCTGTTCACTATCTAACCAATTGTCAAACACGTTGTGTAATTTCTATTACTACCTTCAACAACCTGTTTTTAATTTATACTATATAAATACTAAACAAAATCCCAATATTTCAGAAACCACCCAATCTTTGAAATTATGCTTTCCATTAAGTGTGTTTCAGCACAGTTTAACTCATATCACCTACCAAAAAACTGAACTTCTTATAAAAAGATGCAAAACATTCACTTTCACTATAATACCAATTTTAAAAAGGATTCAGTTGATTCTGAATAGACTGCCAGAAGATTAGTCAATATGTTTCAAACTAAACATGGTTTTTAATTCTGGAGTAGGTATTAGTTCTGGGTTAAATATGCAAAAATAAATCTGGTTAGTATGTCACATCTATTAGTCACATACCAAAAAGCTCCAACCAGCAAGAGCTTTCCATCTAGGCAGACTCTTTGGGCAGAAGCAGTGGCAGTGACGGGAACATAGAATGGATAGGGTAGAGTAGGATAGGCAGGGTAGGGCAGAGTAGGGTAGGGTAGGGCAGGGTAGGGCAGCCTGTTCACTTATCACACAAGCAAGAGTGTGCTCAGTGTGGAAGAGCTAAAGGGGATGTGGTTTGGCAGTACTGGGTGGTGAAGAAGAGATTACATCTAGAAGTTCCTGCATCCTCTGTGACTTTTTCCCCTTTTAATTTCATCTTGAATATTGAGAAATGCCATTGTGTAGCTCACGTGATAATTTCCATTAACAAAAGGTACTTTAAAAAGAAATGAAGTATTATTGTATCCCTTAATGGATAGAGAACTAGGACATAAAACAAGGGTTTGTCCATCAACAGTGGCTGTCAGAGCTTGCAGACCAGGGCTTATACACAGAAAAATAGTGACGTAAAGGCAATCCACAGCCAAACAACCAAAACTTTGCTTGATGAATCTGTCAGGATTTAAACATCTGTCCTAGAATGCATTGTGCAACAGGTGGGATTAACAAAGAATGCTTAAATGTCACATAACCAGTGCCACTTAGATTTCAGCGTCAAATGCCTTCACAGCTTCTTAAAATGGATTTTGAAGCAACTTTGTGATTTGTATATATGGTGGGTTCACATCCAGCAGAAGTATCTGGTTTAACAAAGAGCTGTGGTCCATTTGACAGTCGTAACAGTGAATGGATCTATTGTGTGTAAAGGCTCTGCTCCTGCCCTGCCTTACTTGAGTCTGCCCCTACATTCCTTTCAGGTGATTACTGCCAATGGAAAACTAACTCAGGGAGATTACACTAAAATAAGAACACACTTTCAGCATTTCCCTCCCAGACCTGCCTCATAATTTGGTCTGTCATTAGTCCCCCAAATGTGATGGTTCCCATCTGAATTAATTGTAGACCTTTTGTGTCTTATTTCTAGACCACAAGAGAACCATCAAGAATAAAAAATATGGTGAGGCTGGTTCTCATTTCTCTGAGTTCAATGTTCCCTTGCCCTCCCCAGACTTGCACTTGATTTACAAAGCTGTCAAAAGGCAAGCAGCCCAGATATAACCTGAAGCAAGAGGTGCAACTCAGCTGTGCAGAGCTCAAAAGTGGAACAAACAAAGGCAATGCCATATGCACATGCAGGATAATATAATAGTGTTATGGAAGACATAGAGGTGAGCATTCCAGTGACAGTTCTATACTCTCTCATCTCTTGGTGGAGCAGGCTTTTTGTGCAGCACAAGGTATTTCTCAGGAAATCCACTACTTCCCCTCTGAACAGGTCCTGCCCTGCTGTGGGAGGGAGCAAATCTCAGTTTCTGGTTTGCAGCTCACACTCACTGCCACAGTGCAGAGCTCAAAGGGGCTGCCTGAGCTCCTTGCCCTCTCTGGTGATGGCAGAGAGAAAGTGAGGCACTTCTGAAGCACTGAGAATCTCTCCTACTTGGAGTATCAAGTTGCTGCTCCAAGCAAGGACAGACACGTAGGGAACCTTGCTCAGGTCCTGGAAGACTCCTAGAGAGCTCTTCTTTGGTAAGCAGGACGGCCACGGCACTTTCCTCTCTTGGGCTTGGGGAAGCTTCTAGGAGACAAGCTTGTGTTGAAGTCACAGTATGAGCTCAGCATCATCTCTGCAGGACCAGTCCTGGAGAACAGCCTGTCTCCAGACTGCAGACTCCCCTCTTCATTTCCCTTCTGTCCAAACAAGCAATCTCTGTTTCTCACCACTGTAATAGGTTGATTTACAGCCTTGGAAGTTGCACGGAAAGAGGGACAATGACCTTATTTCACCTGTGAGAGGGTACAGCTGGAGAAAACTAGCTTTTCTAGCTGAACTACTTTGTACAAAGGAAACAAAGACTTCTGGCACCTGCACAGCAGCCAGCTTCTCTCCTTCTGTGGGCAGCAGGCTGCAGGCACAGATGTCTGGTGAATGCCGCAGGAGAAGTGAATACCACAGGGGATTCCAGGGCAGGAAAAGTCCAAAGACCTTGTGGAGAGTGTGTTTCACAGGCACCATGGCAGGAGAGGAGTGGGAGGTGGGGCACCTCCAAGTGAGACTTGCTGGAACGTAAAGGATTTGGCAGGTTGGTGATATGGGCATGATGCCACTGGATTGTTGGGTCAGAGGCACACAGTTGTAGCACACAACACATCTCACCTCTACAACATTAAAAAAAAAGGTTTAGTCCAAGGTTAAAACCAAGAGGAAACAAAAAGATGGTAAAAAATGCTTTTGTTGTTTTGACACCCAACCAGATTAACGTGTTTCTGATGAAAATGAAAACCAGAGCTGAAACATGTTGGATGATATCTGGAGTCCCACTACCTTTGTCATTATTTAGTATATGTTCAAGAATTACTGCAATGCAAACCTCTGATCTTGGCATTTAAAACATGCTGGGCTTAGCTTACGGAGTGGAGGGAGATCGGTATGCAAGAGATAAAAAACTAATTCAAGCAACTGCAGGATCAAAGTAACTTGGAGTGAAAAAGTTGAGAAGATAATGCACTGAGAGAGATCTGCAAAGCAAGTGAAGCACACAAAACCAGTAAAAACTCTACTATAGTGTAAATAGTGTAGCTATGAAACTTTATTTTCAGAGTCTTTTGAATTTAGTTTTTTTATAAAATTTCTTGAAGTCAAGGCAAACATTTTTAGAGTCCTGAGCTTGATCCTGTCTATTTAAAAATAATTTTAATGGTAGAAAGAACTAGACTCAGATCTGTGTGCACAAGAAACCTGAACACTTCTGGCACCTGCTTCTGCATTAACTTGTGCCAGAGTTGTATTTGCAGCAGGGAGATGTTCATTTGCATCCTGGCCCATAACTCCACGGCTGTGGGAATATTTGCTCAGTTTGCCTAGTTAACATGTGACTCAGGTAGGTACACATATGGATTTCACACACATACTTCTTTCATGTACACACAAGTAGGTTCCTGCTGTGAAAAACTGAATGCATAAAGCATCTGCTGGCAAGCAGGTATGCATTCATTTTATTTTCAAATGCCATGATGTGTGGAAAAACCTGGATAGCTTCAAACTAGGAAAAGAAAAACAAATGCTTTTGTAAGTTGGAAAACAAACCATAATTCCAGGTTATGAAGACCTTCAGGCGTTCTTGACATCTTCATAAACCCAACCAGCACCAATGAGCAGTGATTACCGAATGCTGACTTTAAAGCCAACAGGCTCCCTCAGCACTGAGGAGGGGAGGATTTCTCCTGGGGATTAGGTGGGCTGCCTGCCCTGCACCAGCAATGCCTGTTGGAAAGCATGACACAGGCCACGTGTGATGTCTCCCCACGGTGCAACAGGGACATCTGCATCAGCACTGGAGCTTGCCCTGCTGCATCCCATCAGGCACAGACATAGGAGGGGCTGCTATGGGGGAACGAGTAGTTCAGGCATGTTCCTCAGAAAGGAACTTAAACTTGGCTGCTGCAGTGTTTGGGATCGCTGCAGGAGCTGAACTCCCTCCCAGCTTTCTCGTTACTTGCCATGTTTCCAGCACTGGCCTTCCGACACTGGACTTCCTTCCTATTCAGATCCGTCTGCTGAGCTGGTCGGTGTCAGGGTAACAAGATGAGAATGTCATTATCCAGATCTGATTTTGTCCAACCTCCATCATCTGAAGCATGTTCAAGGATCACAACCCAGTTTTTTCCAATTTAAAGCAGCTTTGGCTGAGCTGGCTTTAAGCTGTTGTAACACTGATAATGCAAAAAGGAAGAAAAATAAGATACAAGAAGGGTTTAAGCATGTCCCAGAAGTCCTTAAAAAATTACACCTCTGCTATAGAAAAGCACAGAGAGTCATAAAGAAGCCACAGCTATAGAAAGGCTCTCTTGTGTCCTTACCTTCTCTGCCTGTGAGGGAAATGGGAACTATGTTCCCTGCACTACTGAGTGGTGAGCTTGCATATGTGGCCTTGCAATGATTTTGCTATTAGGAAGACAGTTTATGTACACAAGACACGAACACTGGCCTCTGCCTGAAAAGAGGGAAAAGCCCCCATTAACAGGCAGTGTCCTCATTCTGTCTCCAGTAGCTTCTACAGAAAAGTTGAGTGCCATACCCACAACCCTTTCTACACAGTTTTTCTTGTACTTTTGTTCTTGCACACACAGACCCCAAATCCCTTGATCTTGCTTGGACACCCAGGCAGTTCCTCAGACATCACTGCTGTACTTTATGGCCTAGACATGCTTTGGTGCTCCTTGTCCTGGGAAGCAGCTTCTGTGTTTTTCAATGCCCTGACTTCTTCCAGTTCACTGAACTGCTTCTTCCATTTAGGCCCTTGACTTTAGCTGAGCCCATGGGCCCCTGCAGGTCAACAGCTATTAGCATTATCTTGCCTAACAATTTGTTTATACAGAAGGAGTGAAAGGGACACTAATCTAGTTCAAGCATATAAGCACTGCTAAAATACAAAAATCAGAAAATTATTACTTAGCTTGTTTGAAAGACTCCATTCTTCACAGCAAACCCTTTCAGAAGGAAAACTGATGGAGAGAGAGTTTTGCTAAGCCTTGTCTGTGCTGAACGGCTTTCTAGTGATTAGAGATGGAAGTTTGGAAGTATCGAGTGCTTTGCCCATCCTATCATACATCCCAGCTTCCTTGCAGAGTCACTGAACACTGCAATTGCAGTGTGAGTAATTACAGGTGCTGCCAGAAACAACACTGTCAGGAAAAGTTTGTAGTTGAAATTAGGAATTTGCTTTATGCTATGCCCTGGAAAACATTAGGGACCAGCAGCTGACTTTGGAATAACAATTTTATCTGTGGCAAACGTGGGCATCCAATATCTGAACACCCAACTAAATACCTGGTTTTATCTTCTGTTTCTGCTCCTGCTGCATAAACCTGAATTTGAGAAATCACAATGCAGGTGTGACTGGCAGACCTGAGGCAGGACTGAAGTCAGTAATGTTGGTAGGGGTACCAGCAGAGAAATCTCAAGACACCTTTTCTTTCTCACCCTCAGTTCAGCAGCCCAAAGTTGCTCTTGGGGCACACAAAGACTCAGGGTACACAAACAGAATTATGAGCCTGCACTCCCAGGACAGGGAACACACACATCAGGTATCAACTGCAGTGTCTCCAGGAGGAAAGACAATCTGGGACACTGTTTGCCTTGAGCCTGTGCCTTAGCATCTCTTACATTACCTTTATTTTCAAGACTAAAACATCACCTCCATTTTCTTTACAGACCCAAGGTGGGCAGAAGGGGGGAAGAAGAAGCAGTGAAGGCTGCTACGAAGTTTATTTTGTACCAGGGATCCATATCTCAGATGATGGTCCTGGGAAACTTCATTATTTACCTCTGTTGGAATGGGATAGCAGAATATCTGGAATAAGCACAGCTCTCAGCTACATGCAGTGCAATTGTCTATACAAGTGAGTTCCATGGGAATCCACTGGAGCACCAGGCACACTCAGCAAACACGGCCCAAACACACAGTGTGCCAAAGAAATGTGAGGCATTAAACATTTACTTTCCTTTCTCTATTACCTTTGCACAACAGGACAGAAGCCACCTAAATATCTCTTCATTGTAAATTTTCTGAAACTACTTTTCCATTAGCAGCAGCACTGATCCTTTATTAATTACTGAAGAAGAAACATAAAAATAATTGGTAAGAGCTGATCACTTTGAAAGATGTCTGATTTTATAACTTGGCCTGGACACTTGTGCTTGAAGCTACACAGGAATGTGAGTGCTACAACAACAGGCACTTTAACACCTGATTTTGCAAGCCTGTCTGTTCCCTCCCATCCTTCTTTTACAAACCTAAAGCTGCTGGAACCAAAGGAGCACATTCATTAATTATGCTTTGCACCTGGGAATGGGATCTACAAAAACCCACCAACCCAAACATTCAGGGTATTGTACATGACCTACCAAAATGAGCAAGGGAAGAATCAGCTGGAGAAAAGGGTGTGTTGCACCTGCCTGCACAGGGATTAGGTGCCTTGTTCAGGTTTAGCGGGACACGCTTCTTTTCACTCTGGATTCACAGCCCTGAAAACTTAATTATAGCTTTTCACCTTGCATTGATTAACATGAAAAATGAAGAGCCCTCTCTTCCGTCTGCTTTTTCTCCACCCACTCATTATCCTTGAATAACACATCCCCTTTGGATTCTCACTCTCCATAGGTGCAGGGTTGCATTCTTACTGGGGAGGAGGGATCCATAACATGAATGAGGCTGCAGATGAACTAAAGTAGAGGCCTCCTTTTGGAGGGAAGAAAAGTGTTTTGTCCAAGTAGCATGGTCTGAGAGACCCTACTAAACCAAGACAAACTCGTCTGAGGATGATCCCATATATAGGTCCCACCACACAATGAGGAGGTGAGTCCCAGGTTGCCCAGCCCACATTGCCCAAGGGCACATGTGTGTACCTGGAAACAAATCCCCAGCATCAGAAATGAATGGCATCACTTCAAAAAAGGGCAAATGGAGCCCTTAGGAAGCCACATGACTCACATGGCTGAAATGATTGGGACTATCCCAAATTATTTGGACTATCCCAATATCCCCAACTTCTCTGGCTATCCCAACCTCTACAAAATGTTGTCCATTCATACGCCAGATGGTCCAGAACCACTGGAGTTTTCATTCCAGCTTAGGAAGAAGGCAGAGCTGCTCTGCAAGGAGCAGAAACAAAGGCAGTCCTGGAGGTGCTTCCTGTCTGCAGCTTGTGTGGGGGAGCACCTCCAGGCCTGCTGAGGACATTTCTGAAAGGCAACGTGAAAACGTTGCTTTCTCTGATGCCTGAGTGGGAGCTTTAAGGCCCTTGTCAGGGGCCAACTGGTTCCTAGGAGGGCAGAGAGTATGGGAAAAATTGCAAAAAGAGACATGTAGCCCCCACAAGTCTTTAACATTTGTAATCAAAGGGCATATAAACAATTACTAAATGTGCAAAAGTATCAGTCACAAACACTTAGTACCTCCATCCTACAAAACCGTGAAAACACTTGTATTCTACTTCCATACCGCTGAAATTTGGGGCCACCCGTTAGTTTTAATTCACTTTATAGAAAAATCCTTGGGAATAAAACAGAAGTGGGTTTTCCTTATCTCTTCCCTGCCCTTGGTTTCCTACAGCTCCCCGCTACACCCCACTGCAGACGGCAGCTGTGGGGCTGGCACTGCCGCTCCGG